AAAAAAGGTGGTTCGGGGGGTTCGGGCGCAGGGGTGGGGGCGGGGGGGCAGGGGGGGGGTACGGGAGGTTTTGGGTTATGAGGGGCCTGGAAGCACACAAAACACTCGTCGTCTGAAAACAGAAACATCGCAAATGCCAAGATGTAATGATCGAAGCAAAACACAAACCAATATAGCATGGATAATAGCAAAAATCCGACACATCGTGTCGAAGCCCCACCAATCTGTAGGAAGAAGTACCAACCCGAAAATGCCGACAAAAAAGCACGCTAAAATACACTGGAAAGCTACAATCTCCGAAGTAGCAAACTCGAGATAAGTGCCTACTGCAAAGTACACTATAATACAACATCACGAAACACTACGTCTGCGCAGAAAAGCACCCACTGCAAAGTGGACTGTAATACAACCTCACGAGACACTACGTCTGTCATGGATAACAACAAACTAAAGTACACTGAGAAAGTCATGAAAATGCAAGTCCATAATCCGTCAACGATCGTCGTGCGCACGCGGATCTCGCTGGGACTGATGAGAAACTCCTCCGTGGGACCGACCCCTGCCGCCTTCTCGATCTCTCTGACACTGGCCGCCGCGTCCGCCAGCGGGAGGCTCGGGAGTGAAGGGAAGCTCGTCGGGATCGTCGTCCATAATGACTCTCCTGCCTCTCACCGTCCTGATGGCTGCTGCTGCTAGGTCATCACGTCGGCGTGCCTCGCGTGCCATAGGCAGACCGTCAGTCCCTGAAGTCTCCCCCTCCTGGCGTCGATCTAAGGGCACGTGTCGGGTCTGCCTCAGTCGTGTAACAACATCAGGCTCCTCCAAAATAATCGACGCCTCTCTCAAACCGTACGTCCGCGGCGGATCCACTGCGCTCATCGTGGCACCGCCTACACCCTCACGTCTGTCGTCACCGTCACCACCACTGCCACCGCCGCCACCCCCTCTACCGCCAAACCTTGCAGCTAGAACATCTCGACGTCTCGCGCTCGTGGAAACCCCTATCAAACCTGGCTGACGACCGGCACTCGCCGTCGTCACCCGTCTCGTCTCACTCCATGGTCGATCTGTGCGACCGAACAACATGGTATCCAGCAACTCCCGCGCACGTTGGGTAGTGTCTCTCCGTCTACGGGCAACTGACCTCGGGGTGAGGCTACCGCCCTCCCTCGGAGCTGCGCTCAAGGGTGACGAAGGGCCTGCGGCGCCTCCAAATGGCGCTGCGACCGAACCTCCAGAAGGTAAGTCCCCTGCGACCCCGCCCGATGCCGCTGCGACGGAACCTCCAGAAGGTAAGCCCCCTGCAGCCCCTCCAGATGGCGCTGCGACGGAACACCCAGAAGGTAAGTTGGGGCTGGCTGGCCCCCAAGATAAGTCCTGCACGTGAGGCAGCTTCCCCTCCCCTGGGACTGACCTCAAAACGCGCTGGTCGATCTCCGTCAAATCCCTCCTGCCGTGGTCCTCCAACTCCTCAGCGGTCATAAAACCAAAAGGGAGGCTGCCTCGAGGCGTAGCCACATGCCTAATCTCCGGCCTCGTCCGTGACGGCGCAAAAGTAGGGACCGGGGGTATGCACGCGCCCCTGCCTACACGTCGCTCCTCGACCGGGCCACCGCCATGTGCAGGACGCCTAAAACCCTCCAAAAACGGTGCCTGATGTGGCACCACTGGCCCCACAGCAGTGCGAACCACCAAAATCTGTGACATCTCCTGTCCGTCCGCGTCACGCCTGTCCACCTGTGCGGGGTCTCCCCCACCAGACGTGGACATCGGATCGGCCGCGGACGGCACCCCCGACCCACCAGCACCAACGGTCCCCGCTATGGCCCCGTCCCCCCCGGTGGTCGGCGCTATCCCCTCCACCTGTGCCGATGGGCGAATATCATCAACGCCCACTGACTGCCCCGTCGGCATGTCCTCCAGACCCGGGGACATATGCACGGCACCCTCGACTGAACCCGCAGGCAGAGGCACGCCCGCGACCTCCTTCAATGTCTCCTCTGGCCTCCGCTCCATGGCAGGATGCTGCGCCGTCTCCGAACGTGGCTCCTCTGTCGGTGCCAACCCGCTCTCGTGCGTCCCCTGCTGGACATCCACTCCCGTACTCGAAACCTCTGCCGAAGCTGCCTCCCGCTGCGTCGGGTCATGAACCTCTGCCGGAGTATCCGTGTGGGCAGCTGGCCCCGTGTCAACAGACGCCGGCGTAAATGTCCCCAGCTGCCTCTGTCGGTCCTCGGCTGCAAGACGGGCGAGCTCCTACGTCCTGGGGTCCCTCTGTGCCATGAGGCACGCTCGACGACTATCAAGCCTATCCAGCCTCTCTGCAGATGTCTCTCCAGGGGGTGTCCGGTCCTCATCCCCCTTTGTCCCCAACCTCACCTCTACGCGCATGGCAGGGGAGAAACTACTCGGGTCCGCGAAGCTGATCTGTCCCAATAAGTCCTGCATACCCACACTGATGTCCCCACGGGACTCGCTCTCTCCTAGGGCCAGACCCACACTCTCTCCCGGGGGCATACCCATATCGCCAAACTCACTGAAACCGCCTCCGCCGCCCATCGGTATCCCCTCAACCGCCGCATCAGCCTCGGCACCGCCTCCACCTCCGGCCAGCGCACCACCATCTCCACCAACCAACCCCTGTCTGTCTCCGTCGTCACCCTACACCGGCACAGGACCGCCCTCCAATCTGTCCTCCAATCGCTGTCTCGGGCCCCTCACCAATCTCTGCAATCGATCTGCGACGGCTGGCTGTCGATGAAGCTGCTCCATCGAAGTGGGAAGAGCGGTGGATGATGTCGTGCCAGAGCGACCCAGAGGACGATGGCCAATCCCCGACTCTGCCCCCCTCGAAGGTGCAGACCCAGGATCTTTCTCCCGCTCAGCGGGAAGCGAAACGGTGGACGTAGGCCTCGGACGCTCTAAAGGGCTCCCATGACGACCCCTAGACTCCTCCTCCAAATCAACTTGAATGAAAAGGTCATCTCCGCCACTCCGTCTACGGACGTCCTCTGGGTCGCTCCACTCATCACGCTCATCCGCCGCAGGAGTGGTGCTAGCGGGGCCCGCCGGCTCGTCCTCGTCCTCATGACCCTCGGAATCACTGTCGTCTCGAGGGTACGGGTGCAATGTGGCGGCTCGAGTCCCGAAAACATCGCCCACATCACCCGGAGGAGCTCTGGACCCACATGGGTCTCGCAGCCATGAACGTCTCTGATCCTCGACCTCCTCCCTCGTTCTACTCTCGTCCGTCCCCTTCCACGAGGGGCGAATCCCGATACCTCCCTCCACGTCCAACAACGACTCATCTAGAGTCCACGGCAGCGCGAACCCGCGACCTGCTCGCTGATGAGATAGAAAGCGGACGTTGGCTGAGATCTCAACCAACTTCTCGACCTTCTCGAACTCAAGCCGGTTACGCTTCGTCGTCTGTACACCCTTGTGGACGGCCCAATTCCTCTCCGCAGGAGAGGAGCACGTCCACATGTACATCACACGAAGAGCGATAACCTGCAACTGCGGGGCGCACTGCCCGTACCTCGACCACCAACACCCGGACTCGTACGTCTCCGCATCGCCCCTGCACCTTTGTGCATCTCTGTCTCCGCCTCTCCCCCCCCAAGCAATCGTCCCCCTCCATGTGTGGAAGTCGCGCAACTGTGCACATGCGGTCTCGTAGTCGCGGCTCGCCACACTGAACCCTGTCTACGACAAGATGTAAGTTTCCGCCTCCCTCACCAAGCTCGCGTCGTAGTCGCTGACCACGCCCTCGAAGTACCGCAAGTCCCGCCGGCTGGGACAGAGGAGGTGAGCAGTGGCGTGCGCCAGCTCCAGCATGTGAGCGCATCGAGCCTGCACCCTCTGCACAATGTAGTGTGCAAGATCTGGCGGAAGTGCACAAATCTCCTCTGCCACCTGGCGGGCCAGATCCTGCTTCCACTCAACCACCCGCGACATGTGCAGCCCTCCCCGGTCCAACCTGCGTAGCAGGTTGTACACAGGCTCCATGATACGGAACAAGATGCCCATGGAATCCCACCAACTGCCATGTCGCACCTGCCACCTGACCCACCTAGCCAAATGACGAACTGAATGGTCCCAAGGGACCATACCCCAACTATCGCCATCCACCGTCCTCTCCAAAGCTGACCTCACTGCCAGCAAACGCTCCACCATCGCGAACACGGATGCGAAACGTGTCTCGCAAGGATAGATGAGGCCCATCTGACTGCTCTCCCCCCGGAAGGTATGGAGAGTGCCGCCGTGCTCCTTAATGAAGCGCACCACCGCTCTCCCCCTCATGATGATGTCCTTGGACCATGGGCCCGAACAGCCAATGTCTGACAACATCTTGTTGCAGACATGCACYGCGCATGGGAGCCACGTGATCCGTCGATGCTCCGGCCTCTGCTGGGGCCCCTGGAGCATGTTCGYCRCGGCGACRTACGCCGAGGCGGAGTCRGTGCAGATGGCRTTCACCCACTWAGGGGGGAAGTCATCGAACACCTTGATCCACCGCGCCAACACATCAGGCGCCCGATCCCGCTCACCCTCCCTGTTCATCGTCCGGACGAGCATCACCCCACGCGACCCGCCAGCAAGGAAGTTAACGATGTGTCTAGCATCGCGTGACTTCCTTCCGTCTGACATAATGGTGGCCCCCATGACATAGAAAGGAGCCCTGACCTCCACGAGATCAGCTCCCACATCGTCCGCCGTGTGGACAATGGTCTCTATGTCCGCGATCTCATTCTCTGAAGGCCACAACACCTTCACTGGCCCCGGCAAGTCCCTGAAGTGTCGGACGACGTCCAACCATGGCTCGCTCCGAAAGACGTTGAACGCCAGGCGTTGACTGTACACAAACCGCAGCCACTTCTTCTTGAACTCCATCTGCCACTTTGAAGTGAATGACTCCGTGATCGTGTTCTGTCTCATCCTCTTCTGTGCTGCGGCTGCTGCCGTCGGTCTGTCCCCCTCCTCTCTCTCCTTCCTCTTCCCCGCAGACGCACTTGCCTTAGGCGTATCCGCACCTGCCCGTGCACGAACCGACACGTGCGCCGACGCAAAGTAGTGGCCCTGCTGCCCCCCCGGCTCGCTGACAACGCCCTTCCCTCGCTCCCTCCTTGAAGACCCCGCCCGTGCAACCTCCTCGTCGTCGTCGTCCACATTGATCTGCTCCCCCGCGTCCCTCATCTCTCCCTCCCCCCCCTCGTCCCGTTGCGGATCCACCGCAGGCGCCGCACCGTGAAGCTCCTCAAATCGCTGTATCCTCTCTAGGAACTTCTCGGACATCTTGTACTCACTGTTATAGTGGATGTCGACAAGTGCCTCGTCTGTCACTTCCGGACATCCCTTGCCCTGGCAGAAATAGCGCGCTGCCACGAACTGGTTGCCCTGGAACTCGTGGCCGCAGAAAACGCACTTCAACATGCGATTGCCGCGGAATCTCTCGTCGAGACTCTGTCCCACGCGGATGTACTTGTACACGCAACACTTCTTCTGCGCCTTCAGATTCTTGTCCTCCCCCCCATCCTCAAACACCCGAGATTGACTTCGCGGCATCGTGCCCGCTCGCCGATGGGTTCACCGAAGCGGTCCGCCCCTAGCCTATCCCACGAAGCCCCAACTCCCACCGGCGTCCCTCCCCGCCGCAGGCCTCGTCGGACCCACCCCTAGCTGCCCCCCCCCGTGCGCCCCCCCCGCCCAAACCACCCCCCCAACGGTCTCGAATCCCCGCCGCGCGCCGGAAACGCGACGCGGAACTCGCAAAGGCCGCACCCTGCAGCGTCCGTTCAAAGATATTGAACGCGCGTCCAAACAATTGAACGCGCGTTCGATAAACTGAACGCGCGTTCGATAAATTGAACGCGCGTTCAACAAATTGAACGCGCGTTCAATTTTTAGTCGCGTTGCGCGCCGATGACGTCCTCGTCGCCCGCCGCCTCGCTGTGCCGTCGACGTCCCCGCGCGCCTCCACGTCGTCGTCGCTCTCCACGCGCTGCGCCGTGTCTCTCTCTCTCTATCTATCTATCTATCTAGCTATCTATCTATCTATCTATCTATCTATCTATCTATCTATCTATCTATCTATGTATCTATCTATCTATCTCGTGCGC